CATTTAAATACTCAAACCTTTACAATTACAAGTGAGATACCAACCTGCAAAGATGAAGCTAAAGACTGAGGTGTCTGCTGTCCAGCAACAGGGCTCATTCCTTCAGGTCCTGGAGGTCTTATCCCCACAGACTGCTGGGATGGGGACTGTCCCGGTTGGAGGTTATTGGCTAAGTATGGCATCCCAAGCGATTCATATGCCCTTTTCCACTCTCCTGGAGTGGGGCCTTGATGCGTAGTTGGCACCTGCTGAGTCGTGGCCACTGTCTTGTTGGGCTGATTCCGCTTGTCAGCCGTTTTCAGTGGAAGACACACCGAACAGTTGGCACTGTTGCAGTTTTTCCAGTGCGAGATGATCTGTCGTGAAGAGGCACAATGTGGAATGGAGCAAGACTTCCCAGCTTGACAGTTTGCCATGTGGTTCAGCACTTTCTTCATCGTCTGGCAATGCGGCAGCATGCACTGTGAACAGATAGAATTTGATAAGTGCATGTTACATGACAAACATAACAAATATTCATGAGACATCTCAACAGCTGTAGATGAATGACTGACAAGGAGGATACAATTGAGGTCCACCTTGCTAATTAATCATCAATGTGTTCTTGCATGGGACAGTAAGAGTAAAGGTCTCAACAACTTTTACCCAATCTGACAACATGCTGGCTTCTCAAATCAAATGGTAGACTCTTACACCTTCAGAAATCTTTCAATTCATGCTAACCTGATGCACCTCTCCATTAGCCTGGTTCTCTCGCCTCTGGCACTTGTGGGCATGAAGGAGGAGAACCAACTGCTGCTGAATTAGCTTCCGCTTCTCTGGATCAACACCAGGAGGTTGTTGCTGCTGTTGCCCTTGAGTAGGTTGACCAGCCTGCTGACACTGAGCAGTGAGTTGAGCTCCCCCATTCATTGCCTGCTGCTGACCAATTTGAGGCTGCTGCTGTGGCTGCCCCTGTGACTGATCAGCAGGCACTTGCTGCTGGGGAGGTGCCTGTTGTTGCTGCTGTGCAGCAGACATGGGTGGTTTCCCTGGCATCACAGGATTCCCAGCCATGGTACCTGGATATCGGGGAGGCATGGAGGGAATCCCTCCTTGGGGAGCAGGGCCTCGATGGGGACCTCCCATATTGGGGAAGTTATTGTAGTTTGGTCCTCCTCCACCCATCTGATTCACTAGGCCACCTCCAACACCCTGCATCATGAAAGGATTCTAAGTGAAGCAAACCATTGAATGGGAGAGTAAAAATTAAAGGAATACTATGGAAAGCAAGGAAGCCATACCTGAAGTCTTGCTGCAGTGGAAATGGAAAGGCCACGGAGCTGCTGTTGTGCAGCACGCTGTGGTTGAGGCTGCCGTAGAGTAGGCACAGTTTGGGTGATGGTTGGACCATTTGCCATGACCCCACCTCCACTATTGGGTATCTGAGCTCCAGGAATCACATTCATGGGTGCTCGATTCATCAAACCACCGGGAACACCCTGCTGCCCAGAGGATCCAATATTCATAGTCATATTTGGCATGAGGGTTGTAAGACCAGCTGTGCCCGGAGCAAGCGACACGCTGACAGCTGGCTGTCCCTGCTGCTTTGCTGCAACAAGACTGGCCAAAACTTGCTGCTGTGGCTGTGGGGCTTTGTTCTGCAACAGGATTGTCAGATTGTTGAGCCTCTGTGTATGCGCCTCTGCAGACATCGCTGGACGGGTGGAGACCACAGATACACCTCCGTCTATCATGGCCCCGTTTTGGATATTCACAAAGGAACCATGGGGAACCTGTTGCTTTGCTGTATCTATTGTGGCTGAGCCCCAGGTATTCATTAGTTCATCAGGAAGGCTACTTTCAATCTCCAATGGAAGTTGAAACATATCTGCAAAAACACAGACAGTAACATATATGTAAGTTCTTGGAAACTAACGATTTGAAACTCACAAAGAGCAGCCACTGTACATACCTGAAGCATCATTGGAAGGATTCCCAAAGGGGTCTTGCATTTTAGGCCTCTTATTAGGAGGCCCATCTGCAAGATTACGCTCAGCCATGGCTGAACTTTTTCTACGTCACTGAAACATGAAAGAACTTTAGCTGCAGCTCCACTGCACCCCCATCTTTAATCCCCATCACAAGGTGATGGAGAATGTTAGCCTGCCAGCTTGCAGTATCAATTCTCTCACACTCAGAGAAATTCTTTTGGATGATCTACAGGAAAGAAAAGAACAATTTCAGATCTGAATTTAATTACTCTCTAAGCAGAAGGCTAGGTGTAGCCAAGGCCACTGAGACACATGAGGGCAGATCTAAGCTTCTCATTCGATGGCTAAGGAAAATAGTTTAATAAATATTGCTCATTTAGCCCAAATCACTTTTATATACCTATTCAGGGAAGATAATTTCTCCAGCAAGGATGCGGCGATTTGGCCATTAAAATATATAGTATATTTGACCAAAGCTTAGACTACCTTTGCTTTCGATTAGGCCTATGGGATACATCACACATAGGCCCCGTGGTCGAAATTAGCTCGTGGTACTATGAAGCTTCCCGGCAATTTTTCCTTCAACTAAACGACTAGTGGGCTGAGAATTTCATCGAGACATTTAAAAATCATCCTCAATTTGCTGCAATTCCCACGAAAATTTGGGGGGAACCGGCCCCCCAAAAGCCCAGGTAAGTCCCCGAAAGGGTAAGGGCTCAGGGCTATCCCCCGTTGGGGAACCATGAGGCTGCAGCACGGCAACAGCGGATCAGAGCACGGGAGGGGCCAACTTTCTCTTGGCCGTTTCTCGCTGCAGCTACATGTGCCCCGCATGAAGTTATATAGCAAACACTTCGACAGTTCATAATCTCTTATTTCGATAAAACACCAATAGTAATGGTTTCACCTATTGAAGGAAATGATCCCGAGAAGTGAAACTTCGAGAAGCACAAGCGTAACAAAATGGCGGAGCTCGCATAGGAGTTTTTTCTACGCTTGTCACCAGAGCTCCCAAAAGCGCATGACATCACGAGGAGCTTTGGACCCTCATTGGCCCTCCCACCCCACGTGAACCATCCCCGTCCTCTCATTGGCCACCTGGACGATGCGCGTGACGTCACGCGGCCGAAGAAGCCCGAGTCGCAACGATAATGGGCGCTTGCTTCATCTCGCTCTCACTCTCTCCTCTCCACGGCCTCACGATAGTGCGAGATCAGCTGAGGCCCAGCCCGAGTCCTGGATTTTCCCGATTCCCGTGTCCAGCCTCATCCCGTCTTCCCTTTCGATGTAACGAGGGGCCTTTTGCTCCCAGAGTACTTCGCCCAGATGTTACTCGATACTCCGCTAGGTACGAATGATATGGTAATTAATGATGATTATAGATAATATATGTATCATGAAATCAATCAAAATAATGTTAGCATGCAGAAAGCTGCCAGCCATCTGCAAGCAGAGTGCCCCATCACGAGGAAAACCCTTCCGTGCCCGCAATTTACCCAATAGGCCTACAATCCTGTTCCCCGAATTTACTTTTTCCTGCTGGGGCCACGTGGAATTTTTTTCGGAACTTCAAACTTTGGTTTCTTCACATTCGAAGGAACTTATTCGTGGCCAATGCGCAGCAATTAGTGAAGAAGCGGTCGGTTTTTTGGAACGATGAGGCAATTGGCAATAGGCAATTTTGAAGTTTAATTCCGAGTTGAAAATTGCATATTACGAAACTAATATTTAAAATGAGAGGGCTCCTCTCTTGCTCTTCCTGTGAATTAAGTAATTAAGTTCCTGCGTGCCAGGGAGAGGAAGCAAAAAAAAAAAACCGACAAAAAAAAAAAGTTGGTGGCAATTAATCACAGCTGGGAGTGGGAGGAATGAAATAACTCTGTTGAAAGCACAGGGCGTGGCGCAGAAAGCGATTCGCGTCAGAGCGCAGCCGTCTCCGCGTGAATCGGGGCTGTGCCGATGCATCGACGACGACCGGTATCGGCGGCCGCTATCGGTGCCGTCGGCCGTCGGCAGCCGCTATCGGTGCCGATGCCCGAGGAAGAACGTGCCGAACGAAAGAAAACGAAAAGGAAACTCGTGAACGGAGCTCGGTAGGTGATTCTTAGTAGGTAAAAGGCATGGCCGTCCCGATGCATCCATCCATGCATGGATGTCATTCTCCATAGTTGGAGGCATGGTGGCAGATTTTATTACTCGTCGCGAAGGTCACACCTCTCCCCTCTTCCCTCCCCTCTTCCCTCCCCCCTTCTCTCCCCTCTTCCCTCCCCCCTTCTCTCCCCCCTTCTCTCCTCTCCCCACCCCCCTCCCTCCTCCACTCCGCTATCACAGGCGAAATATGATGGAAAACGAATGAGGTCTTCGCCCCGATCGAGTCAAGAAACAACGGGAAGGCAAATCTCCACCCGGTCGAGGCGAAAAATGACTAAATCCGCCGCTCCCCCCCCCCCTCCTTTCCCCCCCCCTCCTTTCCCCCGCCCCTCCCCCCCTCCTTCCCCAAGGTGTATCGATATTTCAGGCCGACACACCGATGTTTTCGAAACAGCCATCGTGACGGCCCTAAAAGAAATTGAGCAAGGCTATATTTGATATAACGGTTCCTAGCTGTTTCTTTACATCGGCCATCGGTACGGCCATTTTAATAATATGTAGTAAGTATGACAATCACAGACAAAAAACCGAAATTCGTGAAAACGAATTCATTTGGAGGGTTTTCGGCCCAAAATACTTCAAAAATAAAATTGAAATTAAAACCAGCTGCAGCTAAGACGTAAAATTCTGGATTTCTCACAAGAAAAATCGGGGTCCTATCGAGCGCGGAGTTAAAAAAAAAAAAAAAAAAAAAGAACAGATCCCGGATCCCGATTTGCTCGAAATCGAATTTTTCGTCCCGACGCAATTCGACTTCTCACTCGTGAAGAAAAAGAAGCGCCCGAAAACGCGCGGGGAAGTCGAAAATTTCATCTCGCCCCCCACAGCCCCCCCCAGCCCCCCCCCCCCCTCGCGCTGCAACGAACGGGGAAGGGACCAGTCCTTCGAACAGTCTCCGGTAGATGTCGCTAGTAGCGGAGTGGGTGACGAAATTCTCGAACGGATGAATTTAAGAGCAGAAATTGCTTCCACCTTTCCTCGTGCCCGGTCGCAAGTCAAAAGGTTCAATTATAGGAATTCGAATAAAATCAAGACTTATCGGTGCAAAACTTTCGCAACAAAATATAAATAAACTGGGAAAAATATTGTGCCTTCTGATATGCAAATTTAAATTGTAAGCAATATGCTCAAATTTGCCCTCTGACGATTGTGCCGTAGTTCCTTCGTAATTCGCAAGATTCTGCATCCGACCTGGGAGATTTTTCGGCAAAGAACAGTTGCAAATCTCCATGCCGACTGTTAGCAAGAGAATTTTTCCGAAAAGTGCTGAAAGTATTTGATTTGAGGCCTTCAAAAAATTCCATTCGCCGGGTGAAAAGGAATGAGTTATGGCAGACGACGGCTGATGATGATGATGATGACGGCTGATGATGATGAATGACGGCTGATGATGATGAATGACGGCTGATGATGAATGACGGCTGATGACATTTCTGATCTCGGGATTTCTCTCTTGCGAAAGTCTGGCTTTTGCCGTTCGAAGTCTCGGATCCTTCATGGACGAGAACCCTTCTTGCGTGCCGAGGTCTTGCCCTCGTGGACGGTTGTGTGTCGGTTGCGTGCCGGTTGCGTGCCACTTACCCGTTTCGTCTCGGGAGGAGAGGGGGGAGGGGAACCGAGGCTTGCTTCCTGCCGATAAATTTCGAAAATTGCATATTCGCGCTTTCTTCAGATCATGAACGACGCATCTCGCAGCTGTACGAAAATTTCCGAAGTCACCGAAGGAAAAATCCCAGCTGCGTCTCAGCGCCGAGCCGCGGCAGCACCGCCTAACGCACGACGACGCATCGGACATCTCGCAGAACTCCCATCTTCCAAACTGATTTTGTCGGCCTCGCGTCCTCCTCGCGTCCTCCTCCTCGCGTCCTCCTCGCGTCCTCCTCCTCGCGTCCTCCTCGCGTCCTCCTCCTCGAGTCCTCCGCCTCGCGTCCTCCTCCTCGCGGCCTCCTCCTCGCGTCCTCCTCCTCGCGTCCTCCTCCTCGCGTCCTCCTCCTCGCGTCCTCCTCCTCGCGTCCATCCGCCTCGCGTCCACCCCGTCCATTTTCTCCAAGCCCGCATCCATTCAATCTCGCGTTTCATTCTCGATCGCCGAAACTTGAAAGGAGGCCAACGTATGGCCGTTTTTCCTCCCTTTTAGTGCCGCCACGACTCTTCCAACTGGCTTTTCGCCCGTAAATTTCGCACCCTTTCGCTTTTCTAACTGCCAGTCCACCCATCAGGGTGCCAAGTACCAGTTCTCCCACCGGGGTGCCAATAAATAAACCACCCTCACCAGAGGAAGGAGAAACACGCGCCGTCGTTTTCCCTCAACCGAGATTTCGATCGGCCTGCTTCCTGCCGTCTTGATTTTGCCTAAGTTGCCGATTTTGCCAATGTCGCATATTTTGCCAATGTTGCCGATGTTGCCGATGTTGCCCAGCTTGTCTTGAGTAGGACAAAGCCGATGCCGATTTTCGTTTTCCATTCGGGGAAGGTGCTCCCCGGTTGAAAATGGCTCTCATGATGATCCAAGTATCGAACTGAAGTGAGGTGTGATGGTGACCCAAGACAGAACAGGTACTCAAAGTATGAAAAAGTACTTGAAATCGAAAAGTGCCTACATGCGAAATGTAATTCCAATAAAATTGTACTTGCAACTGGCAAGTACTTGCAATCGAAAAGTACTTCCAGCCACCGAAGCAAAATAAAGAAATGCGTCACAGTCCCAAGTACTGACCACGTACTGTTTGCACCGAAAAGTACCCTCCATGAAGTACCGAAACAAACGGAGCTCGTGTCGATCCGTATCAGTACAGGCGAGATACTGCAAGCGCTCCCGCCCACGCCGAAGGCGAATAACATACGTCCGTCATCCGTAACGTGCGTGAGATGTGCGTGAGGTGGCGTGCCTACGGTGAGGCACGTATTTTTGTATGTCTCTTTTCTTGCTATTTTAATGCCTTTTATTTTTATTTTTATTTTATATATATATATATTTTTTGTTTTTTTAACAACCAAAGTCAATTTGTGCACGGGAGATGATCCAGGATTAGGTTAAGGGCGAAAAAGCCGTTCAAAAAATTTCCCGAACTGCTAAGAAAACGCTGATGGGGAAGAATCCTTGCCGCGAAGTTTTCGACCCGTCTCGGACGATCGCTGATTCGTCGCTGGAAATTGCTGAGACCGATATTGCTTTCAACGGCTGCCGCTTCTTCCCCCCCCCCCCCAAAATCGTTTTTTCACCTTTCGAATTTTTTCTCTCACCTTATCACACTTCGTCAGAAACTGAGTCAATGCACAAATACGACCTTGAATATTTAAAAAAAAATAATAAAAAAATGACAAGAAATGAGACATGCAGAAATCATCTGAAGCAAGCCACCTCGACCGCGAAATCGAATAAGCTCGAGGAACAAGCTACTGAAGTCCGGGAACTTTTCCCCATTAGCCCTCGCATGCCCTCGCATGCCCTCGTGCTCGCTCCGCTCTCCCTTTTTCAGGATTCAGGGATCGAAAATATGTTTTCGGGATCAGAAATCCGGAAAGGAGGATGACCAAATCCCACGATTAGGCGAAATCCCAAATCCGGGATTTCGCCTAATCGCCTCCCACGATGAAGCCGATGCCGATCGATGGAGCACCACAAACTGCGAAAAAGTTTGAATGGTCACGCCGAGGTCACCGCGATCCGTGGTCACCCTGATTCACTAGATAAGTCGTGCAATACACAGGGTGTCCACAAAAGATTCATACAATTTTAGTCTTTAATTAAAAAAATGTACAATTGAAGGTACATATATGTGGTTTGCATCAAACGGAAGCTTCGTGTTTCAAGTTTCATTTTATGCATTTCAAATTTTGAAATAAATTTTAAAATTTATTTATCAGCTTGTGGGAAGTGAAACGGCGGCTCCACAAGAGAAGGCAAAACGCGCGACGTTGAAGCC